TGGCATGGAAAAGTCTTAGGGGAATTTAGCACAGAGGGGAGCAAAGAAATGAGATGGTAACTGGTAAGGAAATGAGGGCTAAAAAATGATTTCTGAAATTGCAAGGAAAAGAGAATGTATGTATGCTGATAGTATTTCATTATAAGAGAAAAAACGATTTTTAAAAGACAATGTAGAGTTGCTGAAGCAATGTCCAGTGAGATTGGATCCAGTGCAAGGGTAAAGGGATTGGCACAGCAGGTTCTCCTTAGACACAGACTAGAAGGCAGAGGGTGTGGATGCTGGTGGGTGGGTAGGCAGGGGATGTATTCTGGGGATGTTCTCTTCTGTTCACTTCAATATGCTCCATGCAGCAGGAAATGAAAATTAAGATGGGACAGAAGGTGTTGGAGGTTGGAGCAGAGAGGAGATGGTATGAAATAAATATCCAGGAAATTGGGCGAGTGAATAGCTAGGAAAGTATAGAATGTTTGTCCAGCAGCAGTGAAGGTACATTTGATGTTTGTGGTGATATATTTAAGATGAAAGCAGTCAGCACTAGTAGAGTGTTTTTACCAGCCAAGTTCAGCTGCAAAGAAGCAGGCACGCAGGCCGACTCTTGGATTTAACCAGGGTTCCAAGTTTGCTATGAGTTCTAGAAAACAAGAGAGGTAGACTGTGGCCCAGGATGCACACAGGATAGTGACATAATGATTGACCCTGGCATTTAGGCTGGTAAGAAAGGGAGAGAGGCCATGGAGGGGATGGAGGATGGTGCGGGGTGGTGGGGCCAATGGCTAGAAGGCCAGGGCACTGGGTGGGAGTTGAAGGACTATGGGAGTACCAGAGGGAAAATGAAAAGAAACCCAAAGAATCTTAATGTTATAAATACTGAAAACCAGAATAGACCAGGGGCAGAAGTCCTCCCACTGGACTTTAAATCATGCTAGAAGAGAACCTTTGAGATGGACCAACAACTTCCTAATCCATTATTTCCTATACTAAAAATTCATTTTATGGACTTTAAAAGCTACTTATTTGTTCAACTTTACAGAAAAACAGGAAGGCTAATTTTTTTTCCAAGCGAATTTGCAATTGTCCCATCTTTAGAGGTGATTCTCATCTCATTCATAACACACTTTCACTTCCTATACCAGAGGCTATGTTTCTGACACCCCTTCCTGCAGTTTATAATCTTTGGTTTTATTTTCATTCTATTATTCTTCCTTGTCACTCATCTCTCTCTTTTTTCCTTTTTATTGAATTTATTGTGGCGTCACTGGTTAACCAAATTATACATGTTTCAAGTGCACAATTCCACAAGCCAACAACTGTGCACTGTATTATGTGTTCACCACCTCAAGTCAAGACTCCTTCCATCACCATTTAATCCCCACTATACCCTCCTCCACTCCCCCTCTCCCCACCCCCAACAATCACTGCACTATTGTCTGTGTCCATAAGATTTTTTCTTTTTTACTCAATCCCCTCACTCCCCCACCTCACTCATCTCTCTGAAAATTAAAATATAATGCCTAAACCTGAATAAAACATCAAAGCCTCACCATTGCCAAGAATAGTGGGAGGACTATCTTGGGATCCTTGTCCATCATTTAATTACCCAGAGTCATGTCAGTATTGGGTTCGGTGTTTCTCAGGATATACACACCTACCATCTGAGTCAGTGCCAAAAGTAAAACGTGGACTCGCTGAGCCACCTTGCACCTGGAGATAGCTCCTGGGGGAGATGGGCAAAAATAAACGGCAACCCCAGGCAACTAGGCCTGATTGTATTTTTATTAACACGGTAACTCTTTTACCCACGCAATATCCCAAATTGGATAATTACCTCCCACATTGCCTTCCCCTTGGCTTTGGAGCTAAACACCAGGCTCTTTCTCAATTA